TCCTGGTTTTAGCATCAACTATTATGTGGAAGGTCCTCACAGACAGTGTTACAAATCTGTCTGTGAAGCCACTAAGTGACTTGGGAGTCGCCATGACAGTGTAAGGCCAGTGAGGTACCAAGTGACTGAGGTTGACGATGCCCTGATGGAACTGGTGCAATCAAGTAAAGCTAAGGCTGGAATCCGACAAGGAGCAAAGCCTGGCAAACCAGATCACTGGCTTCAAATTTCTGATCTCAATTGTGGTTTGGCATGATATCCTGTTCCAAGTAAACATTGTAAGCAAGGCATTACAAACTCCGTCAATGGACATTGCAACTGCTACTACTTTGATGAGAAGCTGCCTTGATTTCATTGTGGCCTACAGAGACAACGGATTTGAAGATGCCATCACTGCTGCCAAAGAAATGGCGGAAAACATAGGAGTTGAGCCTGTCTTCAAGGAAACTCATATTCATCAGAAGAAGAGACAGTTTGGTTCCGAAGGCTGAGGTGAGGTGCTAGGAATTGCAGAAGAAAAAAATCAAGAGGGAATATTTTTGCTCACTCGTTGATGCGGCTCGAGTATCCGTTGACGAAGGTTTGGACAAATGAAGCACCACGAAAAGATCTGGTTTTTTTTATATTACTTTAGTAAGCTGCCGGCAGACAGGAAAACACTTGAACAATTATACAGACCTTCACTGGATGCTGACACATGTTTGGACGTCAATGAATGTTCGGAAGTTAATGATAAAGACCTCTATGTCTAAATGGACAACATCTGTCACATTTTGCAATATGTGAAGCACTCTCCACTACAAGTTCTCCAATTCATTCATGATGCAGAGCTGAAGAACACTTTTTTCTCCCTAATGTGTGGATAGCTTTGAGGATTCTGTCATGCTACTGGTCACAGTTGCAAGCGATGAGCGCAACTTTTTGAAGCTCAGGCTCATTAAAACATATCTTCAATGGATCGATGGCCAATGAGAGCCTGACATCACTTGTTATTTTATCACTTGAAAATGCCATTAGCCACTCTTTGGATCTCTCTGACTCTGTGCTTCAGCTCGCGAAGGCAAAGGCGAGAAAAGCTACCTTTTGAATTGAAAGGCTAGGGTAACATTCTAAGGCTGTCACCTACTGTAACACTATTTAATACTGGTCTACCCAATGTGAGTGCACAGTTCAATTTCTTGATGTTAGTCCATTTCACTTATTCTTAAAATTAGAAAGTTTCTATAAGCTTTGAGGAAACAATTTTTTTATTTTGTTTATATATGGCATGAATAAATACAGATTTACAGATCTTAGTGTGCAAATTTACCTTCTTCTATGACAGGGATAAATCATGCATGCAAATTGTGCATCAAAGTCATGAAATGGGCTCCAAATGCAATAAAAAATAAGGTATTCAAAAGTTTAACAAATGAAGGGGGGGGGGCGAAGACATTCCTTGCTTGCGGCGCCATTTGGTCTAGGGCCAGCCCTGTGAGGGAGGTTGTATGGAAAGAGAATAGAAGTCTGTTGTAGAGATGAAGAGTCTGTGAGAACTTGTAGGTGTTGTGGTGTTTGAGAGGTAAGACATAAAGGATGAGATTGCTATGGATGTTATCTTCCCTCTGCTGGGGAGTTTCTTGATTTCTTCAATAGCATTGATGGGAAATGAGCTTGAACAACTTTAACTGTAAATTAACAGGGATTTTTATGTGGGAATTTACAAAATGTCACAGTAACTAAATCAAAGCCTGAAGCGTGCATTGCTGAAAAATGGTGTGTGCCTGTACCTCTCATGCTCTTTTATTCAGCGGTGATGACAGAGGTACAGGGCATTTCCTGGGGATTAGTGACCATCTGCTTTGGGTCACCAGCTCCTCCATTTAGTCGTTAATCCTCAAGATACGCATTGTGCCAAGGTCACTGTTGCTTTAATAGGTGAACATATGCAAAAAACACTTCTTTTTCTTCTGTTTTTGGTGTCTGTATTGTGGCTCTTTCCATGTACTAGCTGATTCTAAAGAGAGAATGTAGGTATCTTCATACCATAACAATATAAACTTCTCAGTGAACTATGCTTTTCTTTCTTCATGAATAACATTAGCAACATTAAGTGGAACAAAAATGGTTCCTACATTTGGCAAAATATTTATGTAACATGACAATAAGAATATTTAGACAGTGTTTTGGTTTTGATCAGTAAGAATGAATATGTACACCCGCCTTTTGATATTGTTTATTACAGGTGAGTTTTAGAATCCTCCTTAGCTCATGAAACCAGCAAATGCACGCTGATGTCTTCTGTCCCATATCTCTCCTGTCACACTAGCAACAAGATTGCTATATTCACACGGGAGAAAAAATGCTTTATTTAAGTGTCCATGTTAATCATGGGTGGTAAGCCGAATGTGAGTTATGCAGGTATTTCCCAACAAAGCTTTTACCAGGCTACCATGGATGTTGGAGATAAAGTATTTCAGAAATATTTTGAGTTTTAAAAATACATTTTCATTCCTGTTTTCATCTCTCTGTACCTGAAAAACCAGGCTGCCTTAATAATGCTAATGCTCTAGCAGCGTAAAGCGCCTATAAAAACAACAGCTCTCCCCACTGGCAAATATCAGTAACATAAAGGGCAACTACCAAAGGCAGTTTTTCACATGGATATCCCAATTGTCTCTGTGATATTTCTATTGTATCTATACATGTGTGTTCCTGAGTGTGTACATATGAACATATGTGATAGATTGCAGAGCCACATCATAAATTGCATTTCTAATGACTGACTGATGCAAATATGTCTGGTGTGTGGGGAATGTTGCTGCTGAAGAAATTCCAGAGAGTATTCTAACCCACCCAGACACGGTGGACACAAGTTTCTTCCCATGAAGAGTGCATGACCAACAACTTAGTTTGCTTTCTCTTTCTCCGTTCATAATGTACAAGTTGTAAAGGCCTAGGGAAGTTAGCACAAGTTCCTCATCCCATCACTAACCTCTGTTTTCCGCAGTTAGTTCAGGCGTGTGGAGAATACTCTGTTTGCTCTTTTTTGTGATTTGAAGGGGGTGAGTGCTTTAGAATGCAAACACTGACTTCAAAGAAGTCAGTATTCATGATTGGAAACAGATGTAGTCAGACATGTAGTTGCACTCTCTCTCCTCTATGTGTCTGTGTAGTGTCATAATTTGCAAATTGTACTCTTAAATTGAAACCTCTCTTTTGGTTGTAGATGCTAAGAAATTAGAAATGTTCCAGTTTATCCTATACTGGATTAAGTGCTTGAAAACTTGTGTAGTCTGTTCGCATAACTGTCACCTGTAGGAGTGTGTTTATCCCTCAACGAGTCAAAAGATTCTTTTTTAAAAGTTGTCTTTTTCTTTAAAAAACTGGCTCTGAATCACACTCACACTTCATTTGTTTCCAATCCTCGACTTCCAGGCTAAAGTAGCATTGGCAATTTGGGGCACCTAGTGCTTTTTTTTAAAAGAAATAACCCAACCCTGACAACAGTTGATTAGATAAGTAGAGAAAAAGGAAGAAAGGCTGTATCAAATAGCAACCAAGAACAACTTTGATTGTTGGCCATTAATCACACTGAACTTCACTTTGCACCAGAAATAATTATATGATTTATTGGGGTGTTTCTGAGGACAAAAAAATATCACCACCTCCACTGGCCATTGCACACCAGTCATAAAGATGCATGTGTGGATTATGTTTTCAGAGGTAATTTTTCAGACTACACATTGTGACTCCATGTCAGCCAGAGCAGTAAACAAACAGCTAAACTGAAAAGGTTGTGGATTGGTAAATAGCCCTAAGCTTCAGCAGTTAACAAAGGTGATATTCAGGATTTCTTTATTGATGGATGTTGAGTTTCCTAGGTGCCATTAAAATCTTTAGTTCAGGAGTACAATTGATTAGAAGCTGGAAATGTCAGATGGAATAAGAGGAAGGAATCATGTTAGGATTGATTATTATCTTTTACACTGATGGAGCTTCATGGATTTTTATTGGAGTTACTCCTGATTTAGAGTTCAATCCAACTCCCGCTGCTGTCAACAGAAGTCCTTCAACTGATTTCAGTGGGAGTTAGATTAGGCCTTTACTGTTGCTGTAAAGGCATTTATCTTGCCTGGCACAATGGAGCCCTAATCTCAGTTGCAACCTCTAGGCACTGCCATAATACAAATAACAATATTAATGTGGTCTCCCATTGATGCTGGAAGGAAATTACATCTGGCTCCTGTTGGTTCGAATATAAGTTAGATGTGCAAATTCCCTAAGTATCCTTTCAAGAGTGTTTAGTATGATTTATCTTTGAGGTTTTTTAGCTTTAAATGACATTACATTCATAGTTCTCTCTTAGTCTCATCTATATAAAAGAAAACAGAGAATAATCTGAAATGTTATTGAAGTAAATGTTGTTAAATTATTTTCCTAAGAATAAGAAGGGACACTAATCACAACTCCTGATTATTCCTCTTGTGCAAAGTATTACTCACATAATAAAGAATGTCGTATCTCACTTTATTACTCAGTAGCCAAACATGTGGCATATGTGTAAATTCAGACTATATTCAATTTTTTGTGTGCAGATGGTATACATTGGCATAGCAAAAGCAGCATTAATGCAACGCCACATTCTGACCTAGCCATGGCTCCTTGAAAAGCCACCTTCCCAGACTTTTCCTATCAGGAGTAGGACTAATTTCTGCAAAGTAATGGCTAGCTCAGTTAGAGAGTCTGTACACTAAAACACACTGACCTCTGCCTTCTGGCCAGGCCTTCGGGTCTGTAGAGTGTGAATTTAGTGTGTATTGTGGGAGCTTGTGGGAAGGTACTCGGTTATTCCATGCTTGGGCACTTGTTTTCTCAAGTATACCTAGATGAGGAGAAAAGCTTCCTAATTTGCCCTGATGCCAAAGCAAATACATTTGAATGACAATCTCAGAGAATTCTAGCCCTGTCCTGGAATTCATGTGCTGTATCATGATGTCTGTTATTTCCATGAATCACAGGAGGAAATAAGCTAAAGGGCCAATGCTTCCGTTTGAACTGGGCTTGGATTTCACTGGAGAAAGAGTACTACATTGTAGACGAGGACTCCAAGTTCCTGGAGGTGACTCTCAAGCGCAGAGGATACCTAGGAGAGACATCTTTCATCAGTGAGTTACTTTGTAATTGTTCTAGATGTCATATGGGGAGAGCGGCAGCTTTGTTATGGAGCATCAGTAGCTACTGTTCAGCTGGTGCTGCTGTTTTTTACCAAGTCAACATCCAGGGACCACGGTAGTGACACCACAGTTGTTATTTATTGTTGGTACAGGGCTCTGTATGTGTGCAGTGTAGTTGTAGCCATCTCGGTCCAAAGATATTGGAGAGGCAAGGTGGGTGAGATAATATCTTTTATTGGACCAGTTTCTGTTGGTGAGAGAGACAAGCTTTCAAGCCACACACAGCTCTTCTTCTGGTCTGGGAAAGATGTTCTGAGCCTAAATAGCTAAATGCAAGGTGGAGCAGATTGCTTAGCATAAGTAGTTAGCATGTATTCTAAGGGACATTCAAGGAAGAGTGCCCCGTTAACACCGCTGCAGTCATATAAATCAGACACTGGATTTATGGCTTATTACAACAAACTGCAACCCACTAACCCCCTCTTTTAGTCCTGTGACTACAGAGGTGTTAACGGGCCACTCTACCTTACAATATGTGCTAGCTATTTACGCTTCCTGTTCCAAATTGGGATGAAAAGTAGATATCTCTCACACACAAAAATATGAACCAAAAATCGGGGGGGAAAAGTCAGTTTTGTTGAAACTTTTTGTTTCAATTTTGAACATTTTTAATTTAATTTTTTTACTATAATTTGTTTACATTTCTAAATTTCAAACCAGCAAACCAGATTTGTTCATTATGAAAATGTGAAAATTGTTGATGTTTAGACAATTTCTAAACTTTTGTTTCAGAATTTTTGAAATTCCTCTAAACTGACTGAGCCTTTCCTGTGAAAAGTTTCCAGTTTTGACAAATCAGCATTTTTCAACAAAGAAAATGTTGTTGAAAAAGTCCCTAACCCGTTCTGCTCCTCAGCTTTCTGTACCAGGAGGCTGAAGCTCCTATGCAGGAGCAGTTTGTGAAGCAGCTGAAAAAAGGAACCACTGAGCTAGAACAGGGGACTCAACGGGCTGACACCAGCGTAGATGATACTATTGTTGGCGTAAAAGGCCCCTAATTAAAGCCAGGTGTCCTACCCATCAAATTTCACTGAGAGTTGGGAACCTAGTTGGGTTCTTTCGGGATCTTTGAAAATCCCACAGTGAATAAAATGAATTCCAAAGAAGAAGCGAAAACATATGACAGATAATGAAGATAATAATTGTTTGTTTCTTATATGTCAATTTACTTTTTGGTTTCTGGATCCTGGCTTTTGTCACCCACATACCTGTTTATTTGTTTCAAAATAACCTCCAGACGAGCTACAAGAATGATCTGAGGTCTAGAAAACATGCCTTATAGCAACAGGAGCTTAGTTTGTTCAGTTTATCCAAGAGAAGGATAAGAGGTGACTTGATCTCAGTTTACAAGTACGTACATGGGGGAAGAGATTTTCGATGGTAGACTGCTCTTTAATTTAGCAAAAACAGGCAAAATGATTGGAAGCTGAAGCTAGACAAATTCAGACTAGAAGTAAGGTGTAAATCTGTAACAGGGAGTGTAATTAATCAGTGGAACAGCTTACTTAGGAATCTGGTGTATTTTCCGTTACTTGAAGTCTCTAAATCAAGACTGGATATCTTTGTAAAAGATATGCTGTAGCTCAAATGAAGTTATGGGTTTGATGCAGAAGTTACTGGGTGAAATTCTCAGACCTGTATTCTGCAGGAGGGTCAGACTAGATGACCCGTCCCTTCTGTTCTAAAAATCTATGAATAAATTATAATGATTTGTGTTGGCCTGATTGGTAACCTTTCTCACCGGCCTGTTATTACAACTGCCCACAACTGTAAGATGTGATGCAACAGCTAGTAGGTATTTTGACATTTTTAAATGAACTGGCAGAAAAAGGAGGAAAAAAACCCTCTTTACAAAGATTTGTTCTACAGTAAAACCATAATTTGTAATAGTGAGTATATATATAATCCATCATCCTTCAGAAAGTCAGGCATTTACACTAGCTATTGGCAACTAATCCTTCCTCCCGATTAGTGAATGCATGAAGTTTTCCACTCATTCAAATATGTAGAAATATTAACTTTTCCTCTTTCCATGCATTCTTGTACAGGAGGGATTGATTTGACAAATAGGTTCCTATGCCTGTGGTCAGGAATGAGAGAGCTCTTTGCTTTAATCTAGAAAAAAGTCTAGGTCAAGAGGGACAAAAACTCTTCCTTCTTTTTAAAGTAGTGTCCCTATGGATGTTGTGCTCTAGGTGTGCTTGCACTTCATGTGCCTCAGATCCAGGATTTTAAGTAGTAGTGTCCATTTGGCCCATTTGGTCTGAGTATTAAATCAAGCATTCCTAAATATTTCTCAAGTGTAAGAACTGGGAGTCCTAATTTGGGAATGATTTCACACTGCAGTTTTCAGGATATCAGATTCTTTCATAATCAGGTAAGGGATTCAACATGACAGGGGTTCATTATTCTCATCCCAGGGAAGTAGAGTGTTTCATAATTGCTAGTGTCAAACCATAATAAAAACAAGTCCACCTATTTGATTTGATGCTGTGTAGAAACCTTTAGACAGTAATGAACACCAAAACCCCATAGTGGGGTATAGAGCCTTGCTTCATTAAACTCACAGTTGGAGTCTGTTAGTTTGCTCACGCTCTTTTGATTTACCTAACTGTAAAATTTCTACAGCTGGAAAATTAAAGTGCAAAAACCCTTTACATTTTAAATGAAATAACTCTTTCTCTGCAATACACATCTAGGTTGGTTTATGCTATATGTTTAAAATATGGTACCTTCTACTTTGTTACAAAATGTTTCTTATTAAAAACACTGTACTTCTGTAATGCTGTTGTCTGTGGATCTCAAAGTACTTTACAAACATTAATCAGTTTAAGCCTCATGACACCCCTAATAGGTAGTCGTCATTATGAGGACCATTTTACAGATGGGTAAACTGATGCAGAGAGGTTTCAAGTGATTTGAACAAAGTCAGACAGTAAGCTGGAAGCAAAGCCAGGAAGAGAATCCAAGAATCTTGATCTTTCCACTAGACCCCAGTTCCTCAAGTCTTTAAGTACAGTTGTATGAAGCTAGAGCACTTGCACAGTCAGGAAAATGTGGGCTTCATGAATGAGTTATTTCCTTGCTGGGGTGAAATGTGTTGACACAGAAACAGGAAATACACATTTGAAGGATAGTAAATAGTAAAAGCAAAATGCATCTTACAACTCACAGATGTGGCATACTTCTCTTAGATTTCCAGCGTATGTTCAAGTTTTGAGACTATATCTCTCTGTATGTATTTCTCTCGCATACTGTAACAACTGCTTTGTCATTCTGGTTGTTTTAACTTCTCTCCTGAGTCACATATCTTTTATGAGTGTTCGCTAGAACTGTCACAGCCCTAGCCATCTGTTTTAGGTATCACTCTAAACCTTCTTAGGGTTAAATCCTCTATCAGTACAATTCTGGCTTAGGCTAAATGGATCCATGTGCAACTTCAAAGGAAAACCTTCTTAGGTGGGGGGATATCGTCTCAATGGAAGTGATGGAAACCTGAGTGCGTACAACACTTTACTTGTTTTATTCCCAGTCTAGTTTTAAATTTTCTGTAGAAAGAACCCTACAGATTTAATGACCTAGTAGGGCTTGTCCATCTCTATATTGTGTGACTCCTGGAAAAGGGTCCAGTGATGTCATTCTCTCTGGCAGGTTGGTGGCTGCATGGGTAGGTCTACAAGAGTAAGGGTCATATAAATGGGGGAAATCCTGAGGGCTCTAATAGGGGAACAAATTACATCAATGGGAAAGAATTCCATATAACTTAAACTAATACAAGCACAAAACCAATAAAAAGCAATAAGATATTACAATAAAGACGTTACTGTGATTATGTAGTGGCTAATTTGTGCTAGGATGGGACCAAATATTTTAAATGTGGATGCCTGTGTTGTGCCTGCAATGAATATGTGTGCATCCATTTAATAGGAAAAATGTGCATTTATGTGCACAAGTAACTGCTCAAGTATGCAATTAGTTCATGTAGATTTTTTCATGCGTCATCAGGCACATGTAACATTTTCTGTAGGTACAACTTGAGAGCCTAACCTAGAAAACACTTATGCATGAGAGAAATTTTGCAGTGTGAGCAGACGTGCTCAATTCAAATCTATAGTTGCCAAGAAACCGTACACTGAAGTAGTTGTACATGCTAATATAGGTTTTAGGTTCACACTGGATAAATTAGTGGAATTATTCATGCAGTAAAGTCCTTCATATTCATAAGTGTTTGCAGGGTCAGGTCCTGAGTACCACATTTAAAATGTGCCCCATAATACATTTTTCAGCCATGTATGGTCTATCTTACAAACACTTTTTTTTCCTAAAGATCTGTAATTGGCAGACACTTGTTAAAAAACCACAATCTTGTCTTATTCAATTGATTCAGTACACAAACATAAACTTTTGGGAAATCAGTAGTTTTTCCAATTTTTACTCAGGTATTGGGACTAAAGATGGAACAGCAAAAAAGGATAAAGATTTCAAAGGGAGGGCTCAGAGACAAGTCCAGTTTAATCCAGGACAGACCATGGCTACCTGGCGAGTGAGGATAACCATAGATGATGAATATGAAGCATCTGAAACTTTCCAGATCATTTTGTCTGATCCTATCATGGCTGCCCTTGAGTTTCCAGAAATAGCGACAGTTGAAATTGTGGATCCTGGTGACGGTATGTGGCATTTACTGCTCCCCTTCTTCCATTCCATAACACAAAATTCATGATCCTGAGAAGTGTGGATCACCCTATGATGGGTTGGACACCCCCCCCACCCCACCCCCGGGATGCCACCTGATGTACTAGGGTTTAACTGAGCCTCTCCTGCTCCACCAGCCTGGATTCCCTCTTCCTGTTTTGCTGAATTAGGCTCTCTGGCCTCTTGCAGCACACCCAGCTGCAGACACAGACTGAAGTCAGCTGTGTGTGAGAGGACTCACCCAGTACTCACGTCCACACCCATTTTGGGAGATAAACCCAAAATAATAATGTCTTGCACTATATAGAAAAATCTGCACAGCACAAGCTCATAACATTCACCCTCTTCCTCAATGTGAAAAAAGATATGCGCGACTTCTTGCTTCCCCCTGCCAGTTAGAAATTACATAAACTGGGTTTAATAATAAACAAAACAAATTTTAGTAACTATAAAAGGCAGATTTTAAGTGGCTAAAGGGATAGCAAACAGAACAAAGCAGATTACTAAGCAAATGAAACAAAACACGCAAACTAAGCTTGATTCACTAAAGAAATTGGCTATAAATAGTAGTTCCTTACCCTAAATGTTGTCTCCGGCAGATTACAGAGATTCTTGAAAGCCAGCTGCACAGGCCTGCAGCTTAAAACTTCAGGTATTATTATTACTCACAGGTTAGACAGCCTTCCAGCCTGGGCTTGACTCTTCTCCCCCCAGTTCAGTTCTTGTTTCCAGGTGTTTCCCATTGTCTCTTTGGGTGGGGAGGCAGAGGAGAACCATGATGATGTCACTCCCCTGCCTTATATAACTTTTGTGTATGGTGGGAACCCTTTGTCTTCTGGTGGAAAAACACTGGCATTCCAAGGTGGGATCCAGTACTAGGTGACTCAGTCACATGTCTCTGCAGGGCCCTACCAGCCAGTACTCGCAGGCTGTTTGGAGTGTCCACAGGAAGACTAAGCTGTTTCACAGTCCATTGTCTTTGCTAATGGGCAATCAGCCCTGTCTAGCTTTTCCATTGTTGTACCTGAAGGGCTAGTTGTGGGTGACATCCAAAGTAGCACATTTGAAATACAGATACATGGTCAATATTCCTAACTTCAGATACAGAAATGATACAGGCATACACATTGTATAATCACATTCAGTAAATCATAACCTTTCCAATGATATCTCACATGAGCCATCTTGCATAAATTATATCTCTGTTATGTCATATCCATATCATAAGCATATTTTCATAAAGAACACGGAGTGTAACATCACACACCCACAGCTCCCATGGCAGTCCATGGGCTGAGTCCTGGGGTCTTGATTCAGTTGTTGTGTTGAATCCTGATTCAGGTCAAACTCCCATTGGTTTGAATAGAGCTACACATAAATATACAAGGATTTAGCGCAGCAGATTAAATCTCTCTATTGACCAAATTCATCAATGACATCAGCATTGTACTATACTCTGTCTCTTACACTTTTTGTTTTCCAGAATCTATAGTGTATATTCCCTGGCTGGAGTACAGAGTAGAGGAAGATATTGGTGAGCTGTTAATCCCTGTTAGGAGATCTGGAGATATCAGCCAAGAACTAATGGTCATTTGTTGCACATATCAAGGTATGTTACCTACTAAGATAACAAAGATATACAATGTTGTGCCAGCCCTTACATGGAGTAATAGAGACACTTCATTAATATGAATTTACATATATGTTATGCAATATGCGGCAGTCTAATGCCTCTTGAAATCAAATGGAAAGCATATTTTTATGCTTTTATGCTTTTTAGCCCTTCAAAGAAATCTGCTGGAGTCTTAAAAACTGCACCTTACCAAATACAGGTGACTGTGTGGTAAACCACACAACGTATCTCTTACTAAACACAAAAACCTACATTAAATTAACATTCTTCAGGTTCTAAAGTCAAGCAGTCAAAAGATAGGAAATGCCAGAATTAAGGTTTCCTGTGTAACCATAATTCAGCCCCTTTGTGTGTATATGTTATGATACAATCTTTAATTACATCACCATGTATTGCATTGATTTCAATAAGCTTTGGATCTGATCTTACTTTTGGTTGCAAGTTATCTATTATTTTTCATTTATCAAGTGCCCATCTTAGGGATAGTTTTCAAAAAGTCTTGTATACGCTTTCTAAGCAAGATGCTATTGTTATCATCTGTCTGATGCCTTCAGTCTGCCCAATTTCAAAAATTGTGCTTTAATTACTAATAAAATTAAATGCAGAATCTAATACTACAGTATAGAGGAAAATAAGCGATTACAGCTAACATGTATTTTGTTTTTGTCTATATTTCTGAAATTCTCGTTGCCACTAGAGTACTATTTCATCTTTCAAGCAGTGGTTTAGCTGCCCATCTTCCAAGGCGAAATTGCATGGATTCTGTGGCCTGCAAACTCTGGTCCACATGCTTAATTTTATGTACCATGAGTACTTCCATTGATATTGGTGGAACTCTTTAGTGTGTAAATGTAAGCAAATTTGCAGGAATGGGATCCACGTGGCTTAAATACACAAAATTGTAACTAGGGTCACTCATGATAAACTATTTTATGTGTGCTGAAAATGGACTGTGTTTGTGTAGCTTGTGACCATGTTCAGATCAAAAGTTTCTACAATCAGTCTACTTCAGAAATTAATTTACAAGATATATAAACCCAGAAATGTATGCTAAATGCCCCATTGACAATGCCACTGGCTAGGCAATACAGAACTGAAATTCACTGTAGTTTACATTTTAAAATATTCTTTTCAGTGATTGTAGAATCCTCTGGTGCTCTCTGCTTCGCTAAGGACATTCAGGAGTGCATAATTTGGTAGCATTGCTGACACAATTAACTGAAAGATCAGGGCCATAGGGGCTATCTCGGTGTAGGCAGACCGCTATTCCTGCATGGAGCCCTATTTGGTTTTGGTGGGACTGTGTAGGTAAAGGGATCCACCCACCCACAGTAATTTGTAGGATATGGGCCTTAGCTTGCATTTTTCATTTTAACTTGGGAGTTCATCTGTAAGATAGTTGAGTGAACATTCATAAACAATACCTATAGTACTGGGATCTAAGGGGATCTTGACCTCACAGTTATGCCCTTATTTCATGTGTATCACGTCATAATAGCTATAGTCTCATAGAATGAGAGAATGTAAATACGTTTGTGGTTTCAGCTTAGCCCTTCAAAGAAATCTGCTGGAGTCTTAAAAACTGCACCTTACCAAATACAGGTGACTGTGTGGTAAACCACACAACGTATCTCTTACTAAACACAAAAACCTACATTAAATTAACATTTTCAGGTTCTAAAGTCAAGCAGTCAAAAGATAGGAAATGCCAGAATTAAGGTTTCCTGTGTAACCATAATTCAGCCCCTTTGTGTGTATATGTTATGATACAATCTTTAATTACATCACCATTTATTATTTTTTTCACTGGGCCCCTGCTTCACTCAGTGCATAGGATGGACCTGCTTTGGGGATGAATCAGGATTGTGTAGTGAAAGAGACTATTGTCTGTAGTTTGTCAAAGTTATAAACAACTGAAAATAGATTCTTATAATGGGACATACGTTGGACAACCTTAATAATAGACTGTGCTACCAACCCCTCCTATGATAAAGGATACCTTCTTACACAGATTATACAGACCTTAGTGGGAGAGGTTGTGAACAGCATATATAAAGAGAGTTGTTGGGGTTTTTCACTTTTAGGAAACACTTTCTGATTTCTGCAAAGGCACATGCTGAAAGATTTATAGATCCAGTAAGGCAAGTTGGTTTGTGTTTGTGAAGCATGTCGGCTGTTGGGAAGGAGGAGCCTGTTGAAGTTTCAGATGTTAAGTATGTCAGCCCACCTGTGGGGTCTCATGACAAGATGCAAATATTACACTGGCCTATAGCCGTGTTACAGAGATTAGATTGCTTTAGCTTCACTAACTTTTGCCATGGAGCTTTTTCAGTGTCGTTTTGTCAGAGGCCAGCCTGCAGCAGAGCCAGTCCTGTGGCAAGTAAAATGCATGAAGCTGTCTGACTGTGCCACCTGATTGGCTGCTGGAGTCTAGAGGCTGATACTTAAGCTCAGTAGCAGCAGCAGGCCAGTGGCTGCTCAACACATTCCTTGCCTGCAGCTTCATTTGGTCCTGTCCCTGCTTCCATTGCCTCTAGCCTTGCTCCTGTGCCCAAACCCCAGCCTATATATGCTCCTGCTCCAGCCCCCAGCTCCTTCCTGACCTCTGACTCCCAGCTCAGACCCTCGGCTCCACCCTCTAACTGCAACGCCTTTGGCACAGGCTTTGGTCTTTGACTCCCAACTATCACGTTTGGCTTTGCTCCTGGACCTGCCCCATCTGGATTCAACTCTTAACTGGTAGGCAGCACTGTTGCTCCAAGTATTAGGCAGGACTGTCCACGCTTCAGTCACTGACACATTTTCACATGCAGATATGGTGGTTTAAAGTGATTCAGATTTACTGCATAGGTGTAGTTCTCGCAACTCCTCTCTATATTGGAAAATGCAATATTCTTTTAGTGTCTCAATGTATGTAGACTACATGAAAGAGGGAGATCAGAACTGTTTTATCCAAGCTTGTACAATCTGTCAGCCTGATCCTGGAAGATACCCAGCAACTTTGCTCCTAGCAGAGTTAAGGACACTCTGCACCTCAGAGGATCAGATCCAGTGTTGCACACTATTACTTTACAATAATATGGCTTCTGGGAGCCATGTTGCATTGGAGAGGCAGAAGACAAACACAAACTAGGATTCCACAAGACTGGGGGTTTCCTTCTCCATGGATCCAGGGAATCTGGGATTCAGACAACATACTTCTATCCTCCATGAACCCCCAAATTTCTCTCACTCAAGGGGAAAAGCTTCTGTGAGGAGAACCTTACTAAGTGTTTTGGCCCCCCTAAGCCTCTCATGGGTTTTCCGTGTGAGGGAAAGATGCAGTTTGGCCCTTTATTTGATTACTGGAGTGAGAATTTTCTCTTCTGCAGTGTGGAAGGACAAAAACTGACAAATTTTACCCCTGCATATTGTGCTAAGCATATGAAGGAAGCTAATTGAACACCATGAGTTTGGATGGACGCTGAAAAGAAAATGAAATCACTGTCCCGGTGACCTCAGCTAGATGGTCAAAAAGCAAAGGCATTTGGTGTGTTGAGGAGAAATTATTTCATGATCTGGAGAGTTATTAAGACATTTATAGGCAGTATATGCCACACAGATTGTATCTGTTTGTCTAAATCTTTGTGGGGTAGGGGTTTCCCCCCAGATGTCAGACACATACTTTTATGCTGTTTCTTTTATTGAAAAAAAATCAGCCACTACCTTTGTATAAATTTCTTTCTTTACACATTTGCTTTTTTTAAAGATAAACAGTTTTTCATTGATGGAGAAGCTCTTTATCATTGGATCAGCTTCCCAATGAAGGGAGAAAATAGTTTTACCTCCATGAAGGGGAAGAATACATCAGTTTGCAGGGGAGAAGCCAATGACATGGACCCTTTCCACAGAATATAGTAAAACCTCTATTCCTCACCACTGTTAATGTCTCAAACATCCTGAGAAATTATGGTTGGTTAATAAGACTCAGTCAGAGGCAGGCAGCATTTTGAAAGCTTCTTTAAAAAAAGAAAAGAAAGAATGAGATAGATTCAGGCAGCTTGCTCAAATATATATACAGGGGCCAGATAGTGGATTGATTGGAGAAGGGTGTCATAATCCCTTCATTACACTCAGATAGGCATTTTCCTTTCTCCTGTCCTAGTGAAGCAGAGGGATAATCAAAACTCTACCATGCCATTCAGCTTTTCTTTAGCAACAGCTTCACAGTAGATTTAGGTGAAGCAGAAATACAAACAACAAAACTTCTAGTTGAAAACATTTCACTATATATCCTTTGATGATGATATAGGTCCTGATTCAGCAAGGTACTTTAGAGTGTGCCTAATTTTAGGCACAAGTGGTCTCATTGACTTCAGTGACCTTGGACCATACTGCATGACAATGGATTCCTAATCCTTTTACTGTATAAGAAACATCATCTAAAGTGATACTTTAATAGGAATTTATATTTCAAAATTGTCACACCAAAGGCATTGGTTTCCACTTTTCTATAGGTAATGGACATAGAACATTCCACAAATTGTGTGTTTCTCAGTACTTCAAAACGTAATACTTTTTAACTGAGTTGTTACCCTACTTCATTAGAGAGGGCATTTTATGAAGAGATGGGTCTGAGCTGCAAAGATCAGATCAAGATTTTGATTCAAACTTTCCCTAAATTCAGATCCAGATTTTTGTGGGGGTCATTACAGGTATATCTGCGCTGCAGCTGGGAATGTGCCTCCCAACCTGAGCAGACAGACTCTTGAGCTAACACACTAAAAATAGTCTGAGCTTTGCAGCACCAGCAGACACTCAGGTTAGCATCCTAGCTCACACTCACCCAATCCCCTGGGTCCGAGCTCGGGTGGCTAGCCTGAGCCTCTCCCAGTGCCAGAAAGGCCACTCTTCTATTTTTAGCATCCTAGCTCAAGCCAAGCTTGTGCGAGTCTGTCTCCTTGGGCAGGGAGTCTTGTTCCCAGCTGCAATGTAGACATATCCTATAAGAGTAGATGACAGCTGCAGAATGCCGACCCAGATCCCAGCTTCCCAAAAAGTGCAGGGATTTCCAGATGCAGCTTCCTGGAATTGTGCTCATTCCTAATTTGATGCTACATATGGAATTACTTTCATAAATAGAGGCAGAGTACTGAGAATTAGATTTGTAGCTGTAGCTCACGAAAGCTCATGCTCAAATAAATTGGTTAGTCTCTAAGGTGCCATAAGTACTCCTTTTCTTTTATCACAGAGCGGTTTTTTGTTTTTAAATCTTAAATTTTCCAACAGAATTTACCTACATAAACAATGCACTCAGGATGATGCTGAAATCTCTGGATCTGTCTGTCAGAGCTGATTATTGTTGAATTTACTATAAATTGAAAAAGGAAGATGACAGAGGAGGGCAAAATGCTGCCTATTGTAATATATACCAGATAACTATTTGATGATGAAAAATAAAATGTACTAGGGGACTAGATTTCATAAAGATAAGGCAGTGACCATTAATAAATGAAACTAAGCTTAGATAGATGCTGGCATTTAGTCTGAGCAGTGAAATGTGGAGATTTTGATGAGACTCTTTTTCATGTGGAAAGAAGTCTTCTATGAGCTAATCATAGCCTGTGATATCAACATCCTGCATGCTCTCTGAGCAGAAAAATGGAAGCTCATTCTCAGTTTTGTAGCCTTTTTTTCTTTTTAACTTCTAGTTCAGAAAGTCTGTTTAAAGTCTTCTCTTTCCATTTTGCTCCTTACCTTGGCTGTCATAGTCAGAAAGCCTCAGTGACTGGCATGAATCTTTAGAAAAGTCAAGGACTCAAAGGTCATTTGTTCCTTTACGAGAGATTTGCAAGGGTTTACTAGCATTTCCCCTTGCACCGCCCCCCCAACACACACTTTTGTAGTATGCTGGAGCACAGAAAATCTCACTGAGTGATTTAGGACTTTACATCCCTGTGGATTATCAACCTATCTGGCCTTAGCAATACTGGCCATTTTACCCAAATAGGCAATCAATTACCCTAATTGCTATGTTGTTCTATTTGGCCAGCAAACTGGTTGCAAGTAAAACAGGATTTTATCCAAAGCCCTAAACGTGGCAGCCTCCACTTCACTTCTATTTTTATCCTAATGCATTCCTATCCCTGAAAGTCTCATTACATGTACCTGTCTGACACATGAAAGACCACGTTCTGCACATTGGTGACCATGGTGTCACTGCAAGATGAGAGTTTGTTCAGCCCTCTGGAGAATCAGCCAGGAATGCAAATTTAAGGTGTTTAATACAGATTTAGTTGTCTCACTTCAGGCATCTAAGTCTTAAATTTTGGCTCACAGTGTTTAGATTAAGTAAATATATTTAAGTCAGCCAGAGTGATTTTTATGTCCTAGTAAATTACAGCGAGTTGGAAGTTGAGTCTGAATTCCTACCATTTGTTTGACTGAGATCATGATCTTAAACTTCAGTGAGCGTTCTGGGTGTGCAATACAAGATCGGCCCTTAAAGGATTTGTTCATAATAAAAATGTAGCAGTTCTAATGAGCAAAAGGATTGATGTAGATTTGTCTAGATGTAGATTTGTCTACTGATCATCAACTTTAAACAGTGTGGAGGTCCAATCCAGGCACCATTTGCAGGCAGAGCACCTATGTGATTTCTCAACTTGATGATAAAATGAAATGGTCTTTTTCTGCCAGGACAGAAAGAAATAGTTGATTTATTTCATTACAGTATATTACTTTTGCATACACACTCTTGACATCCTAGTATTTGAGTATCCTGTACATCAGAGATCAGAAGTAATATTAAATATGTTATAGGCCAAAATCTGCCTTTATCTATACTTGAGCAAGTCCATTGAAGTCAGAGTCGTGCTTGAATAACGTCTGCAGGATCTGACCCATAAATGTTAGTTTAAAAAGCAATGCTGCGACTTAAAATTACTTTTCAAAGGGAACTCATTCATTCACTGTTGTGTCAAGTGTGTTTTAATAGCTTAAAAAAAGTAACTTCAAGAAGCAAAAGGTTTTTTTTTTACTCTTGTGATAACACACACATAGGAGTAAAAATGCAAGTGTCTACCCATTATTCCATGCATATTATTCCAGTCATGAAATATATTAACACTTTATGCAGTTAATTGTGAGAACTCAACAAATTTTTACCTGTGTTTAAGTAATTACTTTTAACATATTTATACTTCAGCACCAGCATAAAATACATTTAAACCATTTTTTGTTGTGTTTCAGCGCAGAAGGAATGGTTTTTCCTCAAGATTCTGATTCCCTTTCATTCATTTTCTCTCTCTCTCTTCCCTCTCTCATCTTCCCCCATGTAGGCTCTGCCACAGGCACAAATCCCTCCACTGTGTTATCCTATTCTGACTACATCTCCCGTCCTGAAGATCACACCAGCATCATCCACTTTGATAAGTATGAAAGAGAGAAAACCTGTCGCATCGTCATTATTGATGATTCCTTGTATGAGGAAGATGAGACCTTCAGTGTCACGCTGAGCATGCCGATGGGTGGGCAAATCGGTGCTAAATTTCCTAGCACCAAAGTGGTAATCCTGGCTAGCACAGAGGATGGTGAGTAGGCAGAAGTTATTTTATTCTGTAGGGGTTTTCTCTTGTAGATCTTATAGTGCTAGGTGCCTTTTTTTCACCATATTTTTCCATCACACAAAGCCTAAGGTTAAACTATTTTATGATACAAGGGCATAGGCCGAGGAGTTAACTGCTTGTTCTATTGAAGTGTAGGTTTAGGATCAAATGGTTATCTGAATCATAGATCTGGGTTTACACTAGCTATTTTCTCACTAAAGTAAAGAGTCCAGGATTACACTGAATTTTATTCCTTGTCTAGGAGTAGACTTGCAATTTTATTAACCAAGGATTGATCTATTAGATTAGACTGGCTATTGTATCACTGAAGTACAAGTCTACGCTTATTTTGAATATTTTGCACAGATGTAGGATTAGTCTAGTTTTTGGAATGCAATCCATATCTAGCATTAGACTTTTTTTCTCTGTGAAGTACCATGCCCTGGATAGAATTTTACTATATATTATTAGGTGAAGTTGAAGATTAGAAGTAGATAGTAGGCTGCTGGGAATGGCTCATTTATTTTGACACCCTGTACCCTGATATGTTTAGTTTAATCACTTTATTGGGAAGATATGGATATTATGTGTTTTTATGAGATGGTGAGAAGAAAGAAAGAAAAAAAAATTGGTACAGAGACAGCAAAGGAAGAGCTATGTATTTTAGCTGCATAGTTTATTGGATGTATTTCAATACTGATCTTCACTGTCCATGCTAATCCAGTCCTTTTTTTATCAGAATCTAATTGTGCTGTTTTAGGCAGAGATTTTGTAAGGAGAGTCTTTAGGGTTTAGGCTCTGACTATAAAACAATTTTTCACTTGTGATAGAAACAGGATTTGAACCTTGAGCTTTAGAGGTAATAGGCTAGTGCACTAACTAACCACAGCACCTTACTATACTCCATAGTTTCAGGTGTAGGAGTAGAGCATCTATTGAACTCTTGAAGCAGTGATTTGTGTTTTTAGTGAGGCTCAAGGCCTACCACTCCTTTCAATAGTCATGGGAATTTTGGGCCTACCTTTCTATGCTCCACAATAAAAATGTATTTCACTGTGTTAAATGAAGCAGAGATGTTAATAAAACCAAGATCCAGAAACAAGCATTACTATTAAGTATTGTTTGTGTCTACCTTCTTGTCCTGTCCTGCAGAAATTCAGCTATTCAAGACAGACACTAGCAAATTGATATGTGGACAGATCCTATGTTGTTTTCTCAAATGAAGAAAAGAGGAGAATGGGTCATATTGATCGCTGGTGTAATTCTCCTGAAGCTAGTGAAGTTAAATCAGGGATGAATTTGGCCAAGGTATTTCGGTTAATGAAAATATAATGGTCTTTCACTAGATGAGGCTTGTCTAAAAGCCATTATAATTTCTGCTGACAGTGACAGTGACATCGCTGCTTCTTTATCCTATTTTGGGAACAGGAGGAGAGTATAAAGGAGGAATTAAGCCATCATAAAAAGAAAAGAGCTTTTCCAGATTTAAAAACCAGGTTTTTACCTTCATGAAAAAAAATTCATTTAGTAGCTGTAGCTAAAAACTGCTTCCCGTGCTATGTGCTTGTCTCAAGCGTAATGCCATCAAAGGGTGCAATTGAGAATTGCCACTGTTTTGCAGCATGCCTCTTATGGGTCCTTGATTTGGCGTCGGGCTATTCTGCTTGTCTCTTTTAGTCATAGAACTTTCTAAGGCCTCAGTCCATCTTAAGTATATGCTTAACTATAATTAAGTTCCATTGACTTCAAAGTGAAACATGTCCCTTTCAGATTTCAAGAGAGGAGTTTTTGAGAGCTAACAGTAGTCTGAGGAGGTGGTATTTAGGCAAAATCTGGATTTCATTTCCGCTGTGGTTTGACGTTTGTATCTCAGATGGAACTAGGGCTTGGGCTTAGGTTCAAAAATCTTGTGAATTGTCCTTGGAGGAGTTTGGTCGAAAATAACTGAAGTCTTCTGAGACTGGATGATTTCATGAGATTTCAGTCATCCTGAGCCAAATCTGAACTGGATCCAGAAAACAGGCCCCTGCTGTTGTGGGATCTGATCTGGAATCTAAAACTGCATAGGTGGTTTTGGATCTAGAGATGAGAAGCTGAACAACTTTTTGTCTCCCAAATTTTGGTAGCTGGTGTTGGATTTGAGCTTTGGACCTGGAATTAGTACTGTCCCTATGTCATGTTATTGCTTTATAATTTATGGCACATTGCCTCCTCCCGCCACCCCACTCAGCTTCATCAATATTTAGGTTTTCTTGTATTTTTATGGTGGGCTAGCTATGGCAATATATTTTGCTATCCTTATTGCTGCAGATATTATATGTGACTCTCTTTTCCAAATCAGTTGTTTCTTTAGGATAGTCTAAGTTATACTTAATCATGCCTCATCAAGGGAAGGATGGATGAGATGACCTCTTGAGGTCCCTTCCAGCATTACGTTTTTATGATTTTAAATAAAACATTTTTATCTTTTTTTTCCCTTTTGGGGAGATTACCTTTTTGTTTGTTTCAAGTTAATAAAGTTTGTCTAATAGCCATCCTTCTCCAACCTATTATTTCAGACAGTGTTTAAGGGTAAAATTGTGGATCCACTGAATGGCAAAACTCCCACTGACTTCATTGGAGTCAGGATTTCAGTCAGTACCTTTTCCTACAGAACAAAATCCTGATCCAACAAATGGACATAATGCTTACTACAGCGAGTAGTCCCTTTAAAGTCACAGGAACTTCTCATAGTAGGAAGCACTGGTAGTGTTTGCAAGATCATCTCTTCATTTGTTTTAAAAAAACATCTTTTGTAAAATAGAACACAACAAAACAGAACACGTGGGCCAAATTGACATTTCAAATTGTTACGCTTAATGGGATTTGCAGGCACTCTCAAACCAGAAAAATGCCTCTTTCCTACTGGAATAATAATGATAGCTTTTAAAAGTCAAAAACTACACAGATACAAAGAGCATGCCCAAGCCTCCCAAATAATGTGTTTAATTTCTTTGGTAACTCATCACAGAGTTCTTTGACCAAATTACTCATGACTAGATGCACTGTGCCACAGTTCTATTAGTCCTCTGAGCTGCACCAAAGCCTAATGGAAGGAGCAAATGAGAGGGTCTGACAAAAACAAATGAAAGTGGACTCTGGCGCGAGTGGTAAAGTTGCTATCATGGTGCCTGCTTCTCCACTGCTTTTTACCTTGTGTGATGATTTATACCTCTGAAAAGTGCGTGTGAATGGTTCCTGTTTTGATTGAGACCGTTCCATAGCCACAATGCCCTCACTTTGTGCAGATGTAAATGACTACCCAAAGTGCAAGGCAGTGGAGGATCAGGCCCACAGTCAGACAAAATGTTTTGCAGTAACTGAACCCAAAACTTGAAATGCATTTTAGGCTTGTGGCCTTTTAAATTCAAAACAGTTGTCCTGCTACAGTACAATATCAAAAAAAAAAAAACCCAACAAACCCTTGTTGTGGCCTCAGTAAGGTAAATTGTGTTCTGGGAGCTCTAGTATACAAGCTGACCCCTTTTAAGGTATTTCCATTTGTTACTCCAGAGTTAGGATGTCAGCCTTCAGCAGCAGCTTATAAACATGGTATTGAAGGGAAAGATCCAGTGCATGAAATTATCCATTTGATAACATTCCCGCTTACTGTACTCCTAGAAGAAATGGTCAGTGTTGGGGAACATGAGCTAAGCCAAAAACAGTCCATAGTTGGCTCAAATAGAGGCACCTCTGTGTATAAAAGCATTTGATTTTACAAAAAAAGATGCTGTTAAGTGGTTGCATGGTGCAGAAGGTTGCTGCACTCCAGCACAAGTCTGAGTGGAGATTGCACTTGGGGGCAGATAACATTAAGGGGTAGTACTAGCCATAGTCCTCCACGCTGAACGGTACAGTCTCCGCTCTGAAAGCCCTTTAGCTGCAAGTGCACAGGGTACAAATGGGGTGAGATGTGAGTAGAGAACAGATGTGTCTGAGAAGACAGACTTGAGCACTCAGATGAGTGCATAATATCAGCCTGTATGGGATTGATCTGGTACCATTGAAGTCACTGGGAATTTTGCCATTGGTTTTAATGAGAGTAGGATCAGACCCTTAGAGGGGCTATGTAGGTAGAAGCATGATCCTTATCATTCTAATAAGAAACTTAGCAAGGCCTTCTCCCCCTACGCTTTAATAGTCATGCGCAACTTGGCAGCCACACTGCACTTCTCTCACTAATGCTGCATCAGGCTCCCCATGCACTACCTGTACCAATAATCATTTTTTACCGTGCACTTATATGCACAACACTCAGTAACTGCACTGTGCACGATCAAGCCCAAAGAATTTATTTTATTTTATTTTATTTTTTAAGATTTGGTTTAAAAGATTTCTTTCCAGAGAATTCCTGAAAGTAAAGAGACAAAGTGTTGGGTTTTATTTCCTGTGTCTGTTGCTTTACACTTCTCAAAATGCTTAATGGAACAGGTTTGGGTTATCGGATAGTCCATTATCAAACGTGTCAGCGCTAAGTTATATATTTGATCACTAGAGCCTTGAACTAAGGGGCCGATCTACATAAGCATTTCTAAAGCTCCAACACATCAGTGAGAGTCACAGAGCCACATGTGGTAACCAATCTAAGCTTTCTCCTTACAGCAGAAAGAAAGTGAATTCAAATGTTAGCAGTAAAAATTGCAGGTGTTTGCAGAAAGTTTTATTACCTCATTAGTGTTATTTAAATATTTATATGGCACCTTTAACAAATTAAACAATGTCTTACAGAAAATCTGTTCTAACAGTAAAGATGGTGTAGCTGAGGTAAATGTCAGCCGTTCAAGCACCAGTGCAATGATTTGAGTCCTTATTCCCTTTCTGTAAGTCTAGTATTGGGGCTAGAGAAAAGGTAAAGAGATGGTGTTCAGTCACAGATCCATGTTATGGTTAGGGTAGGTACGAGACAGCACTAGTATCTTGCAAGTAGCTCTAATGAGATTTCTGCC